TTAAAAATCATTAAGAAAAAATTGAATTAATCATGTTGCAAATTGTTAAAAATTGCCATCTAAAGCTCTGAATGGTTTGGTTTAATGTCCAATCTGAAACTGAACTGAATATTCAGTTTCAGTTTGGTTTACAATCCAAATTTTAAAGGCCAAACAAAACCACCTGATTCAGTTTGGTTTTTCAGCTTTTTGGTTAAATTGATTTACTGCATATTGAAGCATTGAATTTATTATATCATATATGTATTTGCTTGTGTTATTAACTCCATTATTATTATTATTATATTTGTAGTTTATTGAAAGATAATATAACAGTTGATTTATAATAAGCAGACATAAGGTTTTGGATAATATAATTATTGTTCATTTTATTGATATTAGAAAATATAATATTTTGATATAATTTAAAAAAAATTTAATTATTAACATCGCATCAAAATATTCTAGTTGATATTACTATAATAATACTACATGACTATTATTACTATTATTATTTAGGTAAAATCTAAATACAGAAGGGTACTTTTTTTGCGATATACAGTACCTTCTAAATTTAGTATAAGATTTTCAATGTGACTAATCGTGAAATCACATCAGCTTCTGGTGATGTATTAGCCACCCGTGTCAAATAAAAATTTTTTTTTAATTTTTTTTTATTAAATTATATATATATATGTATGTATACAAAAAATTTTTTCGAAACAATTATTATAAAGTAAATAAAGATATAAATTATAATAAAATAAAATTAAAAGTGGAACTAAGATTGATCATAATGTAAAGAAATTTTACGTTTTGGAAAGAATTTTATTATATTAATATGTAGAATGTTAAAATATGTAAAATATAATAAAAAAATTTTTATTTTGCAAAAAAAAAAAATTAATTTTTTTTTGAATTATTTGTTTTTGTAATATTTTTTTTAGAATTGGAGCCTTTCTTAGGATGGCCCTTAGTTTTTGTTGGAATTGGATTCTTTATTTTATTGTCATCATTGTCAATTATCTCCTTTTCTTCCTTTTCTTCTTTTTCTCTTTTTAATTTGTGGTAAGTTTCTTCAAATAAGATTTTTGTCTCTTCATACTTATCAGGATCATCACCAATTATTTGAGTTATAGATTTAAAGCTATCTAAAAGTTTGATATAATTTTTTTTTGTATCAACAACTTTATCTTGAGTTATTGGTAGATTGGAATTTAGAACTTTAATAAGATCACTGCCAAATATTTTTGGATATTGTTGTGGTTGTTGGTAAATACCAACAACATTACTTGATAATAATTTTTCATCATTAATATTATTATTAATCACTTCTTTGTACCATCTTTTAGATGCCATACTTATGTGGAATTTAGCAATTTGACTTGTACGTAAAATTGCTAAAAAATGTCTGCAAACTATTCCTTCATGAGATAGAAGCATGCATGTACATAAGTATGCACCATCATTGAAAACAATTACATATTGTTTTCTACATCCAAAGTAGTGTTTTAGCACCCATACTTCAGATGGCTCTACATTAGATGAAATAAGTAATTCCCTTAAAGAAAAACTTCTAAGATCAGTGATATCATAATTAACATCATTGGTGGTGTCTTTGAGGATGGTGTTGGAGGTGGAAGCAGTAATATTGTTATTTTCATCATTATAATTTTCATCAGTAATGTTTTTCATAGATGTGGATATGAAATTGATAATATCACTATCACTATCATTATCATTGTCATTAATTGTGCCTAAAATTTCATCAAGAGAAGACATCAAGAAATGATATGATTGTGAAGAAACTATCTTGATTTTAATTCTGGATTGACAAAAAACAGATAAGTATTTTTCTGTATTTTTTATAATATCTTTGTAAGCTGCAAATATAATGGTGGTTGGATTTATATTTTTGGTGGGATACCAGGTGTTTATATTCTTTTTTTCAGATCTTTGAATATGATTTTCAATTGTTTCAAATGTTTCAATAAGGCTTGATTTTGAATTTAACTGTTTTTTTATAACAGCATTCAGGCCTTCCAATCTTGATGTTGTTTTTACACCAGCCATCATTACTCTGCATCTCCATGGCCAACCCCACTTTTCTTTGGAATTATAGATATATTTATTCAGGTAATTGTCATTATTTCCATCAAAATATTTTTGAATAAGTTGATTCCACATTCTATCAAATGCAACTGATGAAATTGAAAAAGCAAGTCTTTTGAAGTCCTGTATGAAATTATAATAATCTTTTTTCAGAACTGGCTTCAGATTTCTATACAAATTATTATATATATGAAAAATGCACAAAAAATGTTTTGTTTCTGGAAAATTTATCTCAATTGATGATTCCAAGGAAGGATCATGATCACTCATAATCAAACCTGGTGCTTCTAGAAAACCATTTTTCATACAATTGAAAAACCAATTAAATGAATCAACATTCTCATGATCTAACAATGCTTGACAGAAAATTACAGATCTTCCTTCATTATTAATTCCAATAACAATACATAATATTAAATTATACGTATTTGTTTTATATGTTGAATCTATAATTGCAATGTCATTATATTTACTCCAGTTTCTTTTTTGTGTAGGGTTTATCCAAAAAAGTTTATTAAGCCTATTGGTATAAATATCAACTGAAGCCTCTACAAACCACAAAGGATCTTTGTTTTTATTTTCATTTAATTTTTCATACAGATCAGCAGCATCATATTTCATTATTTTTTTGGTGGATTGAATTATGTTATCCAACTTTTTGTCAATCAATTGGATTCCATGATATTTTCTGGCAAGTATGTTTTTAATTTGAGCTGGTGTGACTTTTTCCTTTGCATATATTTTGATTTCTTCAATTAATTTTGGCTCAATCAATTTGTTAGTGCAAAGAAATTTATCTTCATCAGTGATTTCATGATTGTGTTTGTCAATAAATTTGGTTACATGAGCACCTAGAAATCTTGAAAAATTGATATTGATCTGCCACTGGCAATTGGTTTTTTTTGTAAGCTTGTTAACATGTTTGCTTGGATCCAAATTTTTCCTGCCACTTCTCTTGGTACCAGAATAATGGCACTTTAAAAATTTGGCAGTTGGCCTTGAAGAAATAATACTAGCTTCAAATCCATTCTGTCTGGCATGATTTTTTATGTATTTTACAGCATCATCCAGTGATTTCCAACTATTAGAAGAGGAAAGTGTTGTAGCTTGATCTAAGATTTTATTATCAATTTCATGATTAGTCTCATATTCATGATCAATCTCAATCTCTATCTTATTTTCATGATTAGCCCCATATTTGTGATCAATCTCAATCTCATTTCCGTGATCAGTCTCACATTCACAATCACTCCCAATCTCATTTTCATAATCAATTTCATTTTCATGACAAATTTCCATTTCATCATGAATTTCATTTTCATAATTATAATCATCACAAATTTCATTGTTGTCGTAATCAGCCAATTCTATTTTTGATTTTGCCCAAAGTGGATAACATAACAAAGAATTATCATCTTCTTTAATATCATTTAAATAATTTAAATATAATTTAAGTGGAAATTTTTCATTAATTAAATTTCCCATACCAGAAGGAAAATTTATAACTCCTGGATTATTTATGTGATCAGTTAATAAACACAAGTATCTTAGTCTAAAATTAGATGATTGATCTCTACTCCAAGTTAAACTTCTTATTTCCAATTCTTTTTCAATATAATTGATAACTATAATTCCACAATCCAAGGTGGATTGCTGATTTGGAAAATCCTTGATTAAATTGATTTGGTTGAATTTAATGTTGTAGAGAATAAAAAAATGATTTAAAAGAGATAATAAATTTCTAGGTGGATTATGTTTCAATGAATCGCCATAATAAACTCTATTAGTTAATATATCAAGTTTTGCTAATGCCCAATGTGCATTATTTAAATTCATTATAATGTAAATAAATTTAAATTTTTTTAACATATTTAAATCTTTAGCATATTTTTCAAAATATTCATATGCTTTTTCGTTATTTCTACTTTCTAAAAATTTATAAAAATAGCTATTTGCTAAAATGTAATTATTATCTGAATCATGATTTTTTTCATAATAATGGGTAAAAATTCTAAAAATTGAATCAATTATTGAATCATTTATATAATTTTGATTTGCTAAAGTACATAAATCATATACATTCACATTTAGATTATTCCTAAATGGAGTACATAATTTTTTGATTTTAATGATTGTGTTTTGTAAAATTTTTGGTTGAGAAAATGAAGTTGAATTAATCCAATTAATTAAATTTTTGAGATCTTGTTGAAGTTTTATTGCTGTGTATATACCCATTATTTTATTTAAATCACTAAATTCTGCTATTCCAAATTCAGGTATTCTGACATAAGTAGTTATATCATCGGGTTTATTAAAAGTTGGTAACTTTTTAAATTCTCTTATTGAATATTGTATGTATTCTGGAGGAGGGAGACATAAATCTAATTTAATGATTTCTTTAATTCGCATTTCACATTGAGGATTTATAATAAATATAAACTGATCAGAAATTTTAAAGGTTGGCTCCATTTCTCTGATTGATGGAAATTTGATATTAATTAAATCTTCTCCAGAAATTTCATTTAAATAATTATTAGCATTTTCATAATAATTTTCAAATCTAATTAAATAAATAAATATATTTATTAATAAAATTTGGCATAATTAATATATATAAATTTAAATTTAAATTTAAATTTAAAACTTACTCATTGTCAGTAAAAATTATTTCATTTTCATCTTCAGAGATTTCAATTGGGACGATTTTTTTGTTTGAACTCATAATTGAATAATAATATTAAAGTGTATAAATATTTGAAATTTAAAAATGATATTAAAGTGTATAATAATATAAATTATATTAATATAAATAAATAAGGTATATATTTAAAATATGCGTGCAAGTTTTTTTACTTGACGTGAGCAAAAAAAAATAGATTAAATTTTACTAAATTAGGAAATTAAACAATGACAAATTAATATTAAAATTTACTAAATTAGGTTAACTAAATTTAATTTATTTTTTGTTGTATATATTGTATATTTGTTAATTTAGTTATTTTTTTTTTTGGGAAAGCTCCTAGGTTTAAAGCCAATCTATATATACAATCTTTTTGACTATTAGCATGATATATAGCTGGCATATAGGATTGTACATGGTCAGTGTAGTATGTATATGGTGTGCAGCTAGTATGGTATGCGGCTAATATATAATCACCACCAAAAAAAAATTTTTTTTAAACTTTTTTTACAACACATTACTAGATTCAATACCTTTTTGATGATTAGCATGATATAATAGTATTATACATAGTCAGTGTAATATGTATATGGTGTGCGGCTGGTATAAGCAGTATGGTATGTATATAATTACCACCAAAAAAAAATTTTTTTAAAATTTTTTATGACACTTTACTAAATTCAATATCTTTTTGACGATTAGCTGGCATATAGTAATATACATGATCAGTGTAATATGTATATGGTGTGCGGCTGGTATAAGCAGTATGGTATGTGGCTATTATATAATTACCACCAAAAAAAAATTTTTTTAAACTTTTTTACGACACATTACTAAATTCAATATCATTTTGACTATATATATAGTATTATACATGGTCAGTGTATTATGTATATGGTGTGCGGCTGGTACAAGCAGTATGGTATGTGGCTATTATATAATTACCACCAAAAAAAAATTTTTTTAAACTTTTTTACGACACATTACTA